CTGTCTACCACAACATTTTTTTTTCTAACTGCTAATTTGATTCATTAACACAACAGTTTCATCTGTACCCCCAGTGCATTTTGTTCTCTCACCTTCAGTACATATCCCAGCTGTACCCTTTTCCCTCTTTAATTCTTAACCGTGTGTAGTAACCAGCAAAAGCTTTGCTACCTTGCAGATTCCCCTTTGGCTTTTCCTCACGCTGGAGGCTGAGGGTGGGCTGCGGGGGGGTGGGCTGCCCACGGGCTTTGCTGGGGAGCGCCCACGGCAGAGTGGGCAAAGGTGGGGCCGGGGCGCGGAGCTTTGGCGGGGACCACAGCGACTGCCGGAGCACCACCGGCCCCCTCCAGCCTGCCCCCAGCAGCGCTGGGGGGGTGAGTATAAGAAAAGGAGGAAAAGGAAAAGGCAGGCGGTTCCTTGTGATTCATGTCTACATGTTTCCTCCCAGCTCCCTGCAGTAAATGCTTTAGGGATGCCCCGTGCCAGATGTTGCAGTGGCAAACTTGTCCTAGCCCTGTCCCTCCGTATGAAGCCCTTTTGCTGGTGCTTTCTTCTTTCTCAAGGGCTGGAAATGTCCGTGGATGGTGGGGCACTTTTCTGGGCAAGGGCACAGCCAGCACTCACCGTTATGGAGGAGAGGAGAGAGAGGGAAGTGTAGCCTGGCCCAGTTAATGTCAGTGCTTGTGAAAATGCCGGAGCAGGGATTCGGGTGAACGCGCTGTAACCGCCGCAGAGGAGCTGAGCAGCTGTGTATGAGCACCACGGCGTTATCAACAGCAAGTTGTGTCAGACCAAGTTAATTTCCTCCTCTGAACAGGCACCACGTCCTGCAGATAGCGCAGAAATGAGAAATACCCTGTAGGCTGATTTTTTAGCAAAGCTTTCGACTCTTCTCGTACATGATCCTCATGGAGTGGTGGCTGGGCAGAGCATCGTGCAGACACTCTCTTTGGATAGCAGTCAGGCTGTGGCAATGAGAAAAAGCCCCAGGTGGGTCTCTACTGCCATGCCCAGCACCCCCACCCGTGTCCCCAGCCCCACTGGTGCCTCAGGCCCACCAGCAGCCCCCAGTCCCCCATCATGACGTGATCACAAGCCCTGGCTCCGACTCCTGCATTTCCCTCCACCCGTGTAGGCATTTTGCTGAGCTGTAAGAGCACGTGTCTGCGCTGCTGTGGCTGGGCACGGGGACAGTCCCCAGCTTGGGGACAGTGTCTGAATGAGCTGAAATCAGCTCAGCGCAGCCACCGCGGTGCGGAGCTCAGCACGGAGCAAACTCAATGCACGTGACAGTTAACACTCTCCTGCAAAAGCAAAAGCCTCCGGTGGCATCATGTGTGGGTTTTTTTCCCCTTGAACATAGAGCCGAGAGACCACATGTTCTCAAACACACAGCTCAGTTACCAAAAGCTTTGGCGAGTCATTAAAAAATGCTGTTTTGCTAATGGTTGAAATGTGTTTTGACATAGTTTGTTTTGTTCATTCATAAAAAGGCCACTTGTGGAGTTGTCATTGCACTTTCTGTTTAAAAAAGCTGATGTGCATATTAATCAAGAAGGTGGCAGAGTTCAGCGCTGTCCAAGCTTGCTTCCAAAATAAATAAATAAATAAATAAATAATTAATCCCAACACAATCCCACCACACACATACACACACACACACACAGACACACACACACAGTCCCCCACCCACCCACCTACCTGCCCTTCCCAGCATGTGAGGTAAGGCCAGACAATAAATTCCTTACAATGTCAGAAATTGCGAGGATCAGGCTATGAGAGGAAAACATCAGCCCCTGCCCCAAGACACCCCTGCACACAGACCATCTTTGGTCAGATTTCAACCCTTCAATCTGCTTACGATTTCCCCAAACCAAACTGTTTTCCTCTGGAGAAAGGATTGACTCAGGCTGAGGTGATTTTGTTTGCTGAGATAAAAATCTGGAGCTGGCTCGTGAGGGGCTGACGGCAGCTGGGTAGACGCTTGCCTTTTTTCTGCTTTTGCTGGTAGTGCAGGTTTATATCACCCTTTTTTTGTTGTGCCTGACCCTACGTTGATCACCTCATGGCAGATGTAAAATTAGCTTGCTCTCATTTTAAAACTGTAAAGACCAGAAGGAAACATTTGCGTGCTGTACACCAGCCACATCCACCCACCAATTCCATGGTGTGTATCTCTACAGAACATGACAGACATAACTCATTGGTTCTTTGCGCCAACTGAAGAAGATTTGGGATCCAGCAAACACTTGGAGCTTCATCTGGCTGTGGGGCAAAGGTTTTTACTCACTGAGGAGCTGTGCTGTACCACTGTCATGCTTCAAAATAAGCTTTCTGGAGATTTTCAAGGTCAAACTTTACAGTTTATGAACCTGCAATTATCTGGAAGGAAAACATAGTCCTAGTTTTCCATCACTCTGGCGACAGTATGGTGTCTCCCAGACAGGGGTTAGCATCAACCACAGTGAACAGCAACAGGCTGTCGAGGGTCAATAGATCTAACCTTGCTGTACGCTTCCATTTTTAAACCTCCCGTAGTCATTTCCTTGCTGTCGTGGAAATAATGGAGCCAGCAATGTATTGCTCCCCTCTCAAGCGCAGGGTAATGAACAGCCATCAGACACATTTGATATTTCCATGATGTGAAGCATCAATGGCCACAAAGAAAACTGTACCCATTTTTGCAGTACTTAATTTACTGTCACGAGCAAGCAATCTGTAGGAGAGAGCAGGCATAATGCTGATACACTTTTATTACCCTGGCAGGAGCCACATTATTGTTTTCTGTTTTCACATTTCTTAGCAACAACATTTTTTTGTTCATAGATTTCTTCATAGCAGCTCGGCTGATATTATTTTTATGTTGCACCCAATTTACATGCTGACTTACATCAGCCTACCCACGAGCAAGACCCTTGCTTTCTGCCTGAAAGCCTCCCGGCAATTGCTGCTGCCTTCTGCTGATCCATCACTCCCGTGGCGCTGGAAGAGACAAACCTCGCTCTGAGCATCACTCCTGTGCACCAGCCCAGAGACCCGCAGTCCTGCCCCAGCCAAGATAAAATTGTCTTTTAAGTGTAGAAGGTAGGACAAGCGACAATGCTTCAGCATAGGCTAAGACCTATTCTGAAAATCTCTCTCAAAAAGGTCTTTTCTGCACTTCAGTCGCAGTTGAAGTCATTTCTGTATGAGGCTGTGCTCCAGCCCCGGGACCTGCCTGCAGGTTTGGAGCAAAGCAGAAAGCTCCCAAAAATAAACCTCGCTGCAGCCATGGGACCTGCTGCAGAGCCTCCTGCTGAGGATCCAGGACAACCCGGGGCTGCCCCACCGCCATGGGGCCATGCTCCTGTGCTGGTGTGGGTCCTGAAGAGTTAAGGTGGTTTTTGTAGCCCTTATCCAAGGATGACTTCACTGGGTGACTGGCCCAAACCAGGAGAGGAGAGTGTGCTGCTCCTGGCAGCTTGTGTGAGGAGCCCTGGCATGGTGCACGCTCTGGGGCTTCCCCTCTGCCTGCTTAAGCCCAAGTTGTAGCAAAAAAAAAAAAAAAAAAAAAGAAAAATTCCCCTGGTTGCAAGTTTGTGTTCGTATGGCAGTGGGCGCAGAGTAACGTCAGCAGCACGTGTCAGGTAAAGGCTAATGCCTGGGTTCCCGATGGAACTGCCTGGCAGCAGCCCAACCTGTGCTCCCGGAGCGGGTGAAGCCCCGCAGCCACTCAGCCCTCGCGACCCCGGGTGGGAGAGTAAAGCCAGGCCCACCCGTGAGCGGGGCGGCTGCTGCTCTGCCCCGGCGGCAGCAGCCCCCGGCGCTGGGCTGCAGCCCGGCGGTGCCAAAACACCTGTAACCTCAGACCGACAAGTGGCCTCGGCTTCTTCACCCAGACTCTGCTGGTCCCATGGCCATTAGACACGAGGGATCTGTGAGTGGCTCCCCCACATCTGGGCACATCTGGGCACGCCGCCGAGTGCCTGCACCCAGCCTGGCCCCCAGCCCAGCTGCTCCCACAGAGCCCGTCTGTCCAGAGTGGTCCGAGAGGAGAGGGAGCCACCAGCCAGCACCCAGCAAGGATGTGCCGATCGGGAAAGAGAGAATAAATGTCATTTATATGCCAGGGAGGTGGCAGATTTCAACAACAGCAAAGATAAAATAGAAACCAGTTAAAAAAATCTCTTTGACAAAGGATGAGCATAAAGGGCTCACCAACACACAAAACTGCGGCAGGGATCTGAGATGGGGGATGGATCAGCTCTCGTCCCCCCGAGGACGGAGATTTCCCTAACACTGCAAAGATAAATATGACCAGGAACTGTGTCATTAGAGGAGCCTTAAGCTGCCATATATAGCCTGGAAAGAGACTGTTGCTAAGAATAGTGGGGCCCAGATATTCCATGATACAAGAGTTGACAGATTTCTTCCCAGCACTAATAGGATGTGAGGCTATTTTAAACTTGTCCTGGTAAGTAGTCAGGGAGTTACTGAAGAGCTGGTCCTAGAAAATAAACACGATCCCAGGTTTGGTCCATTTCAGTGAAATGAAGAATAACCACAAGGAAGGTTATTACGAAGGGTCTCCTTTCCAAAAGCCTGAACAGAGACATTAGTGGTGGGAACCAGCAAAATCAACTGGCTTGCAGCATCCCGAGCCGTGAGCCTGGATGAGGCAGGGTGTGAAATCAAAGTCGGGGCGGTGTGGTGGGGCAGTGGGGGCCGGCACTGCTGCCAGCACCTTCATCTCCCTCCCTCCGTCCCACCTGCTGGGAGCCCCAGCCCACCCCCTGCGTCCCTCTGTCCAACAGCAGTGCCAGACTCCCACCCTAAATCCTCACCGAGAGCGATGGAAACCTTTCTGTTGGCTGGGCTGGGCTTTGAGTGAGGCTACATTCATTTAGACTAAGCAATCCTCATTTCGTAGAAGTATCTGCAGTGGTTTATAGTGATATTATAGCAGAAATATATTATTCCTATCTATTTTTTTGAAATTAATGAACAGTGATGGCAACACATCTGAGTAACCTCTTTAATGTGCAACAACCAGTAACACGCACTTCATGGTCAGATTCCAGTTTTAAAAAGAAATGACACAGTGGATGTGTTACGTTGACAATTATATAGTAGTTTCAACATTATTTTCTTAAAAATAAAAATACATCACATTGGAATATCGCATACAAAAAGTAGAATTTGCCCTAAAATAAAATTTTATCAAATCATTTAAAAAATTACAAAAGTAAAATGCATACAAACTCCAGTAAAATTGAACAGTATTACAGGTTGAGGATAGTTTACAAAGATGCTCTCTAACATGTAAAACTCTCTTCCTTCTCCGTACGTTCACGCAGTTCAAAAAACCCCGTTAGGTGTGTGACATAATTAAAAGCTGTTTTTTTCCACCTTATCAAGTATTTGTTTCTAAAATGCACAGCAGAAGGCATTAAACTTGGTAAGGGAAAAAGAGATTTTAATCTAGCAGTTATCACAGACAGAGAAAATAAATATATCTGGAAAACCCGTCGTTGTCCCGGGGGGAGGGGGAGCAGCAGCTGGTGGCCAGCCGCCCGTGGGGACACCCTGCAGCTCTGCTGGGCTCACTCAGCCCAGGTGATGGGGGGCAGCAGGAAGGTCGGGGTGGGCAGGGGCCGGGGTGAGGGACCCAACTCTGTTTGTGTTGTGGCTTTGATTGCGCATCCAGGGCGTCCAGAGGCAGATACAGCCCGGGGGGCACTGGACCCCCCTGACTGCCCCGGGCAGAGAAGCCCTCTGAGCACCCCTTCCCTAAACATCATCGTTTCCCGCTGGTTTCTGAGTGCAACCTGTCCTGCCAGAGGGGTTTTCTCTCCATACAAGTACCTGCTGCCCACGCCTTATGGATTACGCCAGCCTGGCAGAGAAGGCCGGGGTCTGTGCTCCCCGCAGAAGCCTCAAGACTGAGGACACACAGCCTGATGAACGGGGCACCTCCCACGCTCTGCCCCAGCCCCCGTCCCTCACAGGATCCCAAAGCACTTCCCAGCCCCGACCGCAGCGTGTCCCTGCCTGGGGAGGGACATGGGGCATCCCCCCTCCCTTTCTGCAGGTGGGGAGAGCGAGGCACCCCACGCACGAGCATCCCTTCCCCAAGCCCCCGAGCAGCTCTGTGACTGAGCAAGCACAGCACCCAGGCTCTCGCCCCGTCCCGGCGTCACACATCCCCTCTGCAAGGGAAAACATGAGATTGGGGTTTTTTTGGCTTTTCCAAACAGATGGACTAAGATTGGAGAAGTGGCCCGAGCCTAAAGAGAACAGCTCTCCATAAAGACAAAAAGGTTTTGCTCACGGTATTTTCTTCATGTAGTGATACAAAGTGAGGGCAGCGAGTCTGTCCAGATACATCAAGTGGAGAAATCACATGGGGGAAGACAGTGGGGAGGGAGACCGTGGAAGGAAAAGCTGTTATTGCAGAGCAAGTCTCACCTGCCTTCTCTGCCACACCTTGGAAAACCAGTGCCTCTACGCCACGTGCCACAGCCATAGCTGTTCCTGCGGCACAAATCATGCCACGAATGTAAAACATAGGTCAGAACCTCATCCTTGAAGAAGTTAAAAATTAGACTCTGCTAAAATCGAGCTGCAGAAGACATCCCTCCTGTGCAAATAACCCAGGTGCCCCGCAACATCACGCCTTCTGAGCACCCTGGCTGCAGAGCTTCCCTGCTCCCGCTTTGCCCCCCGGCCCAGGCACAAATTGCTCCAAACACACTGCAATCCCAAGTAAAAGGCAGCAGCCAGCACATCTGTGCAAATATTTGCTTTTGCTTGTCAAAACTTTGGACAGAGTTACATTTCTTCCTCTATTTATTAGTTTCATCTGTCTTGAAACACAACGTGCAAAAATTATAAGCAGATTGACACCATCTTCTGCCTTTACTGGGGCTGCAGCCTGCTCTGCGGCAACTCTTTTCCACTGTCTGAGATGACACTCCTGGAGGAAGCACGGCAGATATTCCTGTGCCACCTACAACCCACCTCGCAGCTGTAATGGCTGCAGGGAAATGAAGGAAGCCTGTGCTGATACTGGTGATCTCTCGCAGGTGAAGCAGCAAGCCTGGGGTCTGTCTCTCTCTCGGAAGGGAGGCAGCAGCCACGAGGCAGCTTTCCCCCCCTACCCGTGCTCCCCTCCTCCTCCCAGCCCCGATGCTGGGACCCACGGATGACAATGTTCTTGTTCATTTCGGCAGGGTCAGCATCTACCCTTGCACAACTGTGCATCCAGAAGCCCCGCTGCCTCCCCGCACACACGCCCCTGCTCCTCAGGCCTGGGGCATTAACAACACTGAGGATGGCAGCACCAACATCAAACACCAAATCGACACCAAATATTCATATATGCTTTCATACCAGTGCAGCAGTTGTTGTCTTGCCAAGTCATTACAATGATCCACACTTAGTCTAAAAGAACTGCCCCCCCCCCCCAACTAATGAAAAATAAAAATGCCTTTGTCATAAACTCTTATTAATAATTGTATATAGACGATATGAAGATGAACAATTAAAAGCTTGCTGTCATAGCATTACAGGACAGTTATATCCACTGTGCAAACTGTGTAATTCCCATTCATATTTCAGTCAATCCTTACAACTAAATAGCACTTCCCTTTCTAGTAAAAGCCAATATATGCATATCAATCAATTCAGCTTGGTTATATTGCCGTGTAAGGCTACGCAGTCACTTGCTAAGTTTACTGTAGAACAAGCCAGGCATTAACATCCCTGTCACCACAAAACTTCAAATTTTATACGGATTTGATCATCTCAATGCAGTATTTCAGTGTTCAATGCCCTCTGGACACCCCCCCACCCCCCCACCCTCTTAACTCAATCCATCAGCCTGGTGCTCCTCCAAGTTGCCACTGCAAACACTGACACAGCCTGGGGTTTTCCAACCCACTCCAAGGTTAAAGACATCGCACTCCTGTTCATTTCAGCTGTCAGATCGTTGGGAGTATCTCTGTGATGCTGTGAACCTGGACACCTAACACGCATGCTGCCTGTCAGCTTGGCCTCTCTAAGTGTGGGAGCTAAAATTTTAAGTTTCAGGCAAATTATGGTCTGCTCATAACAGACTATCTGCTTACATATGTGCAAAATCCTTCGGGTTTGCACTTTCTTCCAGCTTTCAGGATTTTCTAAAAATCACTATTTTTATGTGTATTAATTACATGGTTGGCCAACTCATCCCTCTAAAATTAGCTGGGGAGCACGGAAGGTCTTCTCCATATCTCCAACTCAGGGGAGCGGGCAGCTACACGGGAAGGCAAAGGAATGGAAAGGAAATTAATGGGTAACAGCAGTGACGAGAGACAGTAAGCAGGGCCGTAAGTGAAACCGACGTCTACTAACCCTGAGCTTCCCCATTAGCAGCATGAAAGCCAGCACAGCTCCGCAGCTCGTAAGGAGAAAAGCCAGCAGCACTGGAAGCTGAGCTGAGTTGTTACCGAGCCAAGCAGAAACCTGAGGAGCAGCCCATACTTAAAAAGAAGAAATACTAAGAGAGAGCGGTCACTACAGACCATCCGTCCTGGCATTTTCAATATAAAACAGCACAAGTACTTGTGCGTCAAGGAGCTCTGCAGTGCTGGCAAAAAATGTTCTTCAGGGCTGTGAACTCACAGGCCACGAAGAAAAGCTAATATTGTGATTTCCCAGGGCACCTTCCTCTGCTGGCAAGTCACAGGCCAAGCAGCGGCCAACATCGGCTACTCTGCGGCTGTGCAAGGTAATGCCTCATTTAGATAAAAACCCCCGTTGTTACTGACTCAAAAGATAGAGAGACTTAGAACTTTCACTAATTAATAAGAGAAATATTAACTGGTTTGAGCCTGCTCTACACTACTGCTAATTGCATCAGCGCTGCTTAGGGCTCTCCCTGTGGTCTCAAACTCTAACTTCCAATAAAGTGCGGTTATCTTGACAGCTCGGATCCCTGGTAAATCCAAACAAGGGTGGACCTAGTGATAACCCTTACCTAAGAAATATTCCCACAGCTTGAGCTGGGTTACTGACATGAAATGGACTGCTCTTCCTCAGAAGGATGCTGCTGCTGGGCACAGATGGTGATAAAGTATTTTTCAGAGATCTCGGCAAGCACATTTGCAATCCTCACCTCCGTCCTGAGCCAGACTTGCTAATGTAATAAAATCCTAAAGCCTGAACACTGTGGGTGTGGAATGCAGCAGCGTCCTGCACAACCTGAAGTAATTTGGGAGCAATCCTTCGGTTTTCACTCAGGCAGATTTCCATCGGACTCGCGGGGAGCTCTGGTGGAGCCCCAACTGCAGAACGGTGCCTGCAACCCCAGCACAGGTCTTCATCAGAGCCCTGCTGTGCCGCTCGGCCCTGGATAACATCTCTATTTTGGTGCAGAGGCATCGAGGTCTGTAATTAAGACCACACATTACAGTGACAAAGACAGACGTGGAAACTTTTACCGAAGCATCAAAGTTCAGGAGAGCAGTGAGCAATTCACACCAACTCAGAAAAACAGGCAACGGGGTTTAAAACAAGATGTTCACTCTTCTCCCCTGACTGTATAGAGAGAGTACGTCTGGCAGCACTGACAAATATTTTGAATTGTTCAATGCTTTCTGGAACAGAGGCAGAATAGGTTACAGTCTGAATACTGCCTGAAGTGCTTCTCCATCTTAAAATAGTCAGGACAGTGAAAGGATTAGGAATCGCTGTCACTCGGGACAGTGCTCGAGCTGTGCAATTTTAATCTTAATATAGCTACAGTAAATTGCAGAAGCAAAGCTCTGAAGAGCCATCCAAGCTTGCAGTTCTGCCATGACAATGCAACTCCAATCAGACTCTTGGCAAGCGATCCTTGGTTTCAGAAGACAATAGGTAGCAGCAGCTACTGGATACTGAAACTATTCCAGGCACTAAAACATAGTAAAAAGAAGTTGGACAGTTAATACCGTTCATCTGAAAAACAGTAAGAGGATGATGCCAGCAAATCCAAACGCGCTGGTTAAGATCGATTTAGTTATCCCAATGTAGGTTAGCTCCTTTTCTAAAAAGAACCTGCTTCAAGACAGAAAAGATCATTTAGTAGCTGATATAGGTAATGAGCTAAGTCAATTTTCTGTTACTACCGTAAATACATCCATTGCTCTGAAAACATAAAAGCAGGGAACAGCTAGTTTTATTTTACTGCACAGATACACTCCTGAGTTAAAGGTACTAGCGGCATATTCTCTCTGCAAAAGGACCGCAGACAGAAGGAATGGATCCGTGTCTGGAGGGTCGCGCTCGGGTCAGGGACTATTTGAGTGAGCTTACGGTGCCGGTGTCACCCCAGGGGGGCAGGGGTCAGCCCCACGCAGGAGCAGAGCGCGTTTGATTCCGACTTCTACGGATGCAGAACCCTGCACACCAGCCTCCTCCGACACGTGCACGCGCCCCCGGCGATGAAACCGCTACGGTGGGAAATCACTGACCCCCTGAAAACAATTCATGTCGCAGACAGTGTATGTACACGTTTCCATTCACAGCAGTGACTGGTTTAGTTGCAAACAGTGGTATACCACCATCCAGAGACATGATTACTTAAAATAAACCTATGTAAACACACACCCTTACATAACTTATATATAAAAGATATATATATATAAGTTTTATTTGTGTATACATAGATATAAATATGCACACACACCCACCCACACACACCCCACCCCAACCCCTAACACAAAGCACAGAACATACACATGGAAATAGTGTAAATGATGCTGAACGGATATCTAATAATATAATTAAGAAATTATTAGCAGGTTTAAAATTGAGTTAAAAAACTATTCAAAGTGTCTTTAATATTTATGTTCAAGTAATGGCCAGAATGACCAGAGATTAGTACTGATAAAAAGAGCTGACATTGTATTTCCCACACTATGCCAAAACTCATGAGTTATTTTTCATTGTCAGACTCATTGTCATTTCGCCATCAGGGCACCTCACCTACCAGAAATACTTTTTTAGGAAACAGTGATTTTAAAGACTTGGGTTAACAAACAATATTGTTTAGGCAACCTTAGTCCTAAAAACCATGCACACCTTAGAGTACCAGAAGAGAACTAGTGGGATTCTGACATCCACACCCACAGTATTCGGTGGCACGAACAGGTCTTCACAGTAAAAAAGGCAGTACCGGAGACGGGGGGATGAAAAGGTGACACAGTGGTGGCCTTTAAAACAGCAACATTTACCAAGAATGACTTTCCAGTCAACTTCTGAGATACCACAGATGCTCCGTATCCAGGAGATACAGAACCACGGTGGTGTTTCAGAGGTGACTGTGGGTGCAAGTTGGGTTTCAGTGGCAGCTAAAGCTATCATTTCTATGTGCTCCAGGGTGATAGCAAACACCTCTAACAACACTGCAAGGATTGTTTAGGATATTTAGTATGGCTACAACCCTGGTACCAGTGTCTTCTATCAGAAATCACTTTATTAGAATGTACGTGTAGTGTACAAGCACCAAATCGTTTTCGTTTAACTGTTTAACGGACAATCACTATATAAATGACTAGCAATTTAAAAGAGAGATCTTTAAAAAGAAGATTTTTTTTTCTTTTATCTTTTTTTTTGAATTTTGTTAAGGTTATTCACTATTTCTATTCTGATAGAAGACTCTGAAGATTACTGGTACCCCTGTGTGTATAACCATCAGTCGGCACACACACACACACACACACACACACACACAACTGTACATCTCACTGCTACATCAACAGCCTTTTAAATAGAGAGCCCCAGCTCTGGCACTGGGACCTGCATATCAGATATATTCTTCGTGCATTTCGGCATCATTATCACCACTCAAGTTCCACATTTATCACAAATCAAGCTGGTCTTGAATGTAAGAACAGCCTGTCCCTCACCCTCTCTAATAAAGCCATGATTAAGTCTTGTAATTTCTTCGTTTTCCCACTGTTCAGCTGTGCAAACCCAGGCAGACGTGCAGACTGCAAAGCTGACTTCCAGTCTCTTCCAACCCCTCACCAGTCCGGTGTTATCACACGGAGACGACGACATCGAGATAGAGTCTGTCGTAGGACTCACGGAAGCACAGGATGAGGAGCAGGCTGAGCAGACACGACCCTGGCAGGCACCAGTTGAACCAGGAAAACTCTGTAAAGCAGAAAATAGACCCAACCGTGGTTATCCAACACGTTCCATGTGTAGAGACCAAAACTTTGATTGATGGAGGGTTTGAAGGAAATTGCAGTGTTCTGAACAAAATCCTGACAGCTCTCCATTGATAGATGGGTAACACGGTCTATGAGACTTCTCCATGGACACCTTATATATATTTAACGTTTATACATACATATATATATAAATACCAGTGCCTCTAGCTAACGTTAATCCTCCTAATTCAACCTGTCACTGGAGAGAATGGGGAAAAATATCAAAACCTATCATTGCTAATGGAGAATAAACCACTTCTGAAGACTCTACTCATTAGTTCTTCGATTTCTATGGATTGAAAACTAAACCAAATTAAAAGCGTAAGAAGCAGCAGGATTTGATTTTTGAATCAAACCTCTTATACAGTGCAAGGAGCGAAAACCAATTCCTTAGAAGAAACTCATGAGTAGTACAATCAATTCAATTTAAAACTAGTTGCACAAACAGCTCCTCAGAAGCCTCTTCTTAGCTGTTAGGCATAACACACTGCTCTTAAAAGCTTGTGTTCCACATTCAAGAAACCCTATCATCTGATATTTGACTACTAATTAGCAGTTTTATTCATTTTTTTTTTGTTAAACAACTGCACCACAATTTCCTTTTTTTTAAATCTGTCAATTTACTGAAGAAACATTAATTTTACTGGAGATGGTGTTTTATTTTTTCTTTTAAGTTTCTATTATTATTATTATTAATTTATTTTTACAGAATCTAAACTCCCCCACAAGGCCTGCAGCAGTGCTACTTTCTTGAATCTGTAACTTATATTGCTAAAAGAAAAAGCAGAATTTATATTACACAATGCAAAGGACAAAAGTCATAAAGCATCAACCTTCCAAAACCAGTAACCTTCAACAACACCCTCCCTCATCCACCAAAAACCCTCCAGATTTGTTTACACAGTAATCTTATTAAAACCTTAGTAAAATTTTTCTAGGCTTGGAGAAGACCATGTTATGCGATGCCAACGGTCAACAGGCAAAGGCTTTGCTATTACTTTCCTTATAATACTCTTGCTTAATTGAATTAAACAGACTTTAATCCAAATATCCTAAAAGACCAAATTTAACTTGTAAATTCTTCATGTCTTTTGTAATCCAGAATTTGTGACAGCACTGTTGATGCACACTAATGCATCGATCATGTGAAGCTGCAGATCGATTTGCTTTTGGTTTTCCCTTGGAAGTCCCTGCAGACAAGATGAAAGAAATCACATCCTGCAGCTGCGGCTCTGGGTCTCAGGGCACCGCACTAGCACCAAGGCTGAGCTTTAGAAAGGTTTACACCTCCACCGTGCTTGCAGGACCAAAATCTTCACTGCACTGGAAAGATTCCAGGGCTTGGCTCTTTCACAGACTTCATAATAGCACAGTATGAGGTGAAGAAGAGAGAAATCAGAATTAAAAATCCTAAAAATTATTTGGCCTAAGAGAGACTGAGGGAGCAAGATGGATTTGAGTGAGTTTTTGTTTATCTGTAAGGTTCTTAAATGCCATTAGAGGATGTATCTGAATCAAATGAAAGACAAAGTAAGATCATTATCTACCTTCTAAAAGATTTTTTTAATCAAAGGAGCTAATAGCACCCACTGGCATTAAGCCCCCTCCAGTGACCACATGCACCCTTGTACTTTCGATCATCTGTGAAATGGCATCATGGAAAATGGATCGTCCCAAGCTCAAATTACCTTTTTTTTTTTTTTTTTTCTTCCTTTAAAGAAATAGAGAAAACATTCCAAGTGTATGGATATACTAATTTCATGTTCATCCTTACCTGCACTTACTGATACTTGCTAGGGGAAAAAATACTCGTGACAAAAAATGGCCCCAAATACCCTACTTATGCAGGAATGAGTTTATTTTATCATAATTCTTCAGTCAGAAGTGAGATACTGTATCCCCACTCTCAATTATAAATAAATTCCAAAAACTGGATGGTTACTCTGAAAAATGCTGAAAAAATTCTCAGAATATTCTTTGTAACCTTTTCAGCTCAGGTGTAAATGTTGGCAATAATAGTCTATGTGAACAGAGTTCACACCAACTAATATTAATCATAAAAGCATTCTTTAAAATGTAAAGACTAAATATTGCGGCACCCGATGCTAGCAGGGATGGAATTCAGATTTTACAATGAAGCAGTTCAATGTCAGTATTAAAAAAAAATAAAATAATTTCTCTCGGTTTGAGTTCTCAGACCATAATTTGGAACGGGGCTGTCAACCTGCTTGTGATTCCCTGGCAGTAAGACACACAAACCACACTGACAGTGCGCCCCAGGCTGCAACCTTGATAATTTCAAGCACAATTCATTCTGAAATTTGTCAGTCTCCTCTTGGTTATAAAACACACTATCTTAAGAACTACATGCACTCATGAAAATATATAAGAGCTATCAATTTCTAATGCTTTCAAAGCAAAAGTAAAATATTGCTTTACAAATTTTGCATCATGAAGCAAACGTTTACCACAACAACAAAATACAAACCAAAAATCTGCATAGGCCACTTCCCTTTGAAAGCAAGATGGGTTCTTATTTTACAGCTTAGAGTAATAATGTATTACAGTCTACTAAATAGCAAGTTAAAAGTTACGATTATGAGTTATAAAGAAGCAGGTAACACTCAAGAGATGAGAAATGCTGAAGAATTTGATGAAAATATCAAGCAAAACACTGTTATGGCTGATTACACCACTGGATTATCTAAAGGAATGAATATTTCATCTGAGCAGTGATCAAAGAGACACTCTCTCCCCTGCAATGGTACGTCCAACCCACTGAACAGAGCTGACCATAAACAGGGCATTTCTGGTCTGCCCCTCCCGGGTGACACAGTTATACTCCGAAGCATGAGACTGGATTAGCTTTACTGTGGTTCTGAACACCCACAGATACAAAGATTATTAATGGTCACATCACCCTGGTCTTTATAAAAATATGACAACAGTGTGTATCTTGATGGTTTCTGGCTACAGCAAATTCTAAGTAGAATATGACTATATGCGTCTTGCACTAAAGCATTTCATTTTATTATCATGCATATAAAGTTCTTCTCCCTTGCCACTACATAAGGGGACTCAAATATTTAATTATTAACAGAAATCATATGTGCAAATCTTCCCTTTACTGACAAGGGTATGTCTTAATAGAGAATGATATTTTCAAAGTAGCTTATATTTCTTACCTGTGTGGTAAAATGTGAGGAAAAACAAAAGCACTCCCATAAAAACATTACTCAAAAAGGTGACAACTCCACAGGTAATTCCTTCTGGAACAGGGTAGACTGTCTCCACAAAGAGCTCAAAGAATATTGGTACACTGCTGTTGAGGAATATACCCAACAAAATGCAGGATGTGTACAGTGTAGCTGCAACGGAAACAAAAACAGCTATTAATTTCACACTGTCATTTTTTTCCCCTTATTCAGAGCTGCCAAGAATACTAATACTTGAGTAACTGAAAAATACATAAACTTATTTTTATCCTCTGTGTATCATAAAGTACATCACATCCCACTAGTTTTAGGCAGAATGCATGCACTGAGGGGGGGGGGGATGGGGGGGAAATCAGAAAACTGATTTTTGGTGTTGGTTTTTTTTTTTTTTTTTTTTTAAACAGAACCCATGAGGACACATTCAGTGATTTGGAATTCACTTGTAAGTAAAACAAACAACAAAATTATGAATGCAAAGCACCACCTACAGTTTGATTTACCTCTGAAATTAACAGAAACTATTGTCCAACACACAATTAGGAAAGGGAGCAATTAATGCACCAAATTAAAAATGAACATGAATTAACCTTTTGACTTAGCTCTAAAGGTCAAAACTGATTTTGCTTCCATTTTACAAATAAATACTAATGATCTACCAGATATCAATACATTAGTATTCAGCACGGCCTGAGCTGCAACATGTTGAATCCCTTTTGCCTTCAAAAGGAAACGAAGGGCACCTAGCACCTGGCAGGAATAGGACACTTTTAATAATGCAGATTATTCACCACTGTACAACAAATCGCTTTTCTTGGACAAAGCAACAGAAGAATATAGACCTTTATTCAGTAGCCTCAGATATTTTGTTCCACAGTTTCTGACACTGCCGAATACTTTACAGTGTTCAGTATCTTAATATAGGTGCTTAATATACCTATATTATCTGTTAATAAGCCTATTATATCTATTTATGAAAAACAGAAAACTTCAGAAGAATTTAGTACCTATTTAGAAATGTAAATAACTCTTTGTTGAGTGCTGTCTTGGGAAGGAGATTTCCTGACCTACACCCTCAACAACCTGAAGTTACTGATCAAGTGAAAAGGATAAGGAAACAATTAGAAGGCTTGGCAAAAACAAAAACAAACAAACAAACAAAAACAAAACAAAACCAAAACTCTGTAATAATTTCTGAAGTTTCCACCAAAATGACAAGAAAACATAAAAATTTTTCAGACACAAAAGTGTTACCAAGTTATAGGGAAACTATTTATAGCATGTTTTCACTGCAGTATGGTACAAAATCCTTAGACAACTTTTTTTTCATATAGATAGATATGTTTATATAAAATAGAAACTGCATTTTCTGATTTACGTTCTTCTGCCTTGGAAAGGGGAGAACTGAAACAGCTCTGCTTCGTTTTCTGTTAATCATTGGCTCAAGCTTTCAACTGAGAAACTGTTTGGAAGAAGGAAACTTCCAGCTTTTAAAAAAAAAAAAAAAAAAATAATCACTCTTCTTTAAAATATGAAGAATCATGGAAGAGATAAAGGCATTAAGAAACAGAAAGGGCTATCTATCAGATCTTCCATTTGATGTGGTTTGATTCCAAGGCAGAAAGACATATTTCTTTCTCTACAGAGGATTTGCCTGGACAGGAAAAAGAGGACAGAAGTCCCAGCCAGAAAGATGACGTAGATGGCATGACTTCAGGAGGGACAGCTGGCCCCCGCTTTTTTTTTAATATACCAGAATGTTCTGAGTTGTTAAGAAAAAAAAAAGAAATAAAAGAAGAACAAAGAAATCCTGGTAACTCTTCCGACTCTCAAGTTCTCTTACTATAAACTGCAGAATAAAAGTCAAAGAAATTGATACAAGGTGTGTTCAAGAGTTGTCAGAGAAGAAGGAAAAAACCCCAAACCGGTATTACAATGCTCTTCCTAATGGACTCTTCTAGCTAACACTGAAGAACTGATTCCCTCGTTACAAGATCCACAGATTTTTGCTGCAAGTCCTCACCAGTGCTTAAAATTTCATGAAACTCCCTTTGAACTCCTGTTTACCTCAAGCACTACTGCATATTGTTCTAACTGTCTCTAACTGCTGGCAGGTATGGCCCGCAAATCCAAACATATTGAGATATTTGTAATTTTTGTGTTGGCTTGAGAAAACAACATATAAATGAAATAGAAGAATCTCTTAAGACAAATGAACATCTGCCCCTCATTACACTCAGATGAAGGTATCTATAGATAACTACTTGTAACTTCTAGAGAACATTTTCAGAACTTTCCCCAAAGAAAAGAAGGTGGTAGCCAGCCGTAATTCTGTACCAAACTCAAGCAGTGGAAATAGTTGTGAAGCTGCTGAAGGCCACAATAGCACCATGAGAAGTGGAGCTGTACAGTGTGAGAGGCAGTACCTCTGTAGCAAGAATCCTCCTCCATAAAGAACAACAGCTGGGAAAGGGGAATCCTGTGCCTCTGAATAGATACAATCTCTAGACGTATGATTTCCAGAAACCTAGATTCACTTCAGATGAATGTAAAAATATGCATCTAAGATTAGCAGCCGTTTAAAAGATCAGAACTTCAATTTTTAGTCAATACAGTAGGTGCCAAAGTGTTCATAAAGCAAACGGAAGCCTTCAAAATAAATTTGATAGTTTAACATACGCTAGTTGAATTACATCATTGCTCATCACTTATTAAAATGCATTAAGATGACTAGACCGTAAGCAAACATGTACAGTAACTCTAATTTAGAAACTACATCCTTACATTTGTCACAACAGCTTACTTCAGTCATGCAAATACACCCACTGGCACACACCTCACACTTCCACAGTACCATGAGCAAAGCAGTTTTAGGCATCACCTTTTGGTTATTCCCAAAGCATAACCTGCCGCATGTGTGCACACCAAAAACTGCTAGCTGAATGCCACTGACAACACCTCAGCTGTGATCACAGGTAATACTTACAGAACAAGGTCTACATATATGTACATACATATTTGGAATTAATAAGCGGAAATGTCAAGGCAAAAGGACAGGCAGAATTTTGCATCCAGTAGATGACAATTTAAGTCCTAAGTTCTAATGGAAATGACAACTTTTAACTGGTAAACCACAAAAATAAGCTCTGAAAGTGAAGGAGATACACACATCTGAAAGACTCCCTTAATGGCTACATATTGTAACGATGGGAAAATATTTTTTATTTCTGTAAATCATCCAGGGTCTTCCTGAGTGCTATACAAATAAGCTTACTCAAATAACTCACATTAAGTCACAAATCCAGCTGGTCAACTAAACAGAGAGTCAAAGGTAAGATACGTAGTTTCAGAAAAATAAGTTATAAGAAGAAGTCAAGTAAGAGGTCAAAAGTAGTTTTGCCTTTTATTTCATACACTAAATAGCACACCTCATATTCCAGCCCATGGGCAACAAGATACCATGGCAGGGAGAATACCACCTGTTAACAGAGACCATTTACTTCCCATTACAGCGACCTTCATTGAACCAACACAAACAATTACCATGATTTTATACTGCAGAAGAACAGCTGCTAAAGTTACAGAAAATGTTTTTTCAATTAAGACAATCTTGATGACAGTCATTGGAAATGAACATAAGGATATGAAAGCACTGACAAAAAAGAAAAAAAAAGAGATGATTTACCAAGAAGTTAACGTTATGTCCTAAAGCCTAACAAGGACAAACAACTAGGTTAGACAGGCATACGCTGGGGAAGCATGTTATGCTATTAGTGTAAAAAAGGGTCCCTCTTTCTTAGGAAAAGGAATTAACTGCCTATGAAGCTATGTGCAAAGTTATGTACCTGAGACAGTGGCAGCTGTGGACATCGATAAATAATGGAACTGGGCTGGGTTTCTTCAATCTATTTTGATTAATGTCATGTTTTAAAGATGTTTGTGTGAATTAAGCACCTATTTCTCAGGTTGGACACCTCAAAAAGATTGGGGAAGGCAAAACACCCATCCAAAGGCACAGCTGCTTCAGAGAACCAGCCTGGAGCTGCCGCTGCAGGAGCCCCAAGCCGGGCTTCGTCATGTCATGTTCGGGCTTGAGGTGTGAGGCAACCCATGCTAGTCCCTCAGTGCTCATTCTCCTCCTGGCCAGGAAGGAAACAGGGAATGAGATGTGCCTTGAGAATAGCACTAGAGATGTTACCAGTCAGATGAAGCAAGGTACCGACTGGGGACTGATGGTAATACAGTGGCTTGGCACAAAAGGGAGGAAAAGCAGTAGGAAGGAAGTTTCCTTCTTATCCCTTGTAGGTCTTCAGCTACCTGTTGGCAAATACATGCCTGTATCCCAGAAACAGAATTTCTTTTCTCCCAGCCATAAGCCATAGCAAAAGCCTTACACCAATTAAAAAATAAAAAATAATTAGGAAAAAAAAAAAAAGGAATTCAAACAGGGATGTGATTTAAATGACAGCGTGCACTTGGTGTCCCCAGATGAGCTTGCAACACAGCAGAAGGAGTCTCAAGTATCTCTGACATCCAAACAAGTTCCCAGAACTTCCCAGGACATTCTGCAACATGTTTAGCAATTTACTCTTAAATTATATCATCACTAAATGTATAACTACAAAGCCCAATCCAAACCCAAGTGAAATTAATGAGAGGACCGCCAGTGATCTAAGTAGTTCTTATCAACCCATTGGCACATAGATTTTGGTTGTTTTTCAACAAAGAATATGAAATATTACCATTTCTTTAAAAAGTATTTTGCAGATAAATTTACAAAGGAAATGCAGATACTCTAGAGCAATATTGAGTGCAAGCAGGTGGTACAGTATCTTCTTCCAAAGTCCTCTGCCAGAAACTCTTGAACTCTGTACATTTTGTAACAGTTCTCTTCTCAGAAAAACTGAGCCAAGACTCACACAAATTTCATATGGATAAACAGGAAAGTAAATACAACTGAATATGTTCTCTTGGGTGCAACATACAATTTAAAGCAAAACCTACAGAGACCTAGGGCACTTTGTTATTGCCTGTTATAACAATATCCCAAATGCCAAAATGAAAGAATAATGTCTCATGTGGATGCAGGCTTCATTGACTTTAGCGCTTTTGTATCCCCACCAATCATCTGAACAATTCAAAATTACTTCCTACCA